CCTCCTTCAATTCCTACTATTCCTTCTACCTTGACTTTCAACACTAAACCTCCTCTTTCGGTTTTTTCCTCACGTGTCACCATGGCCAACGATTCTAGTGCGCGAAACGCTGTCCCAGGTCTACTTAAACCTCGCTCCAAACTACACATTGGAGCCTTCAACGTACGTACCCTATGCCAAATCGGTCAACAGGCCTCCTTAGCTAAAACCCTAGAATCTCGTACCATTGATGTATGCTGTCTCCGAAACACGCATACAGGATCCTAGTGTGGTAATTCACTTGACCTCACCTCGCCAAAATGGACACCCAACGAAATACACCCTCCATTTTTCTGGCGACCCGTTGGCTAGTTCTCGTGGACTTGCAGGTGTAGGCATAGCACTAAGTACAAGGGCAGAACAGGCACTACTAGAATGGATCCCCGTTAACAGTCGCTTGTGTGCTGTCCGGCTAAATGGCTCCGTAAGAACTCGGAAGGATAGGGACACACGTCGTTGCCTTTTCGTCGTTCCTGCCTACGCTCCCACTGACTGCAGCCATGATGAAGTGAAAGATGACTTTTACAGAAAGCTCTCTGAGCTTCTTCAGAAAGCTGAGCGCTCAGACATAGTAGTCGTAGCGGGTGACTTTGGTGCCCAGGTAGGCAGCTTGAATCAAACAGAAAGACATTTAGGTGGGTGTTTTAGTATTCCGGCTCAACGAACCGATAATGGTGATCGTCTGTTGCAACTATGCTCAGACAATCGTTTATTTTTATCAAGCACTAATTTTAAGCATAAGGAGAGACATCGTCTAACATGGCGACCACCTGCACCAAACCAACGATGGACTCAAATAGACCATATTGTCATCAGTCATCGTTGGAGAGGCTCAATAGAAGATTGTCGCTCGTATTGGAATACTTGTTTAGACTCTGATCACGCTTTAATACTAGCGCGCATTTGTCTGCGCCTCAATGGACGCAGGAAAAGTACACTAAGAAGACCCATTAGGATTGAACTAGAGGACGAGAAAGCCAAATGCGAATCCCAGAAACTGAGTTCACATTTAGGCAGTTCTGTAAACGAGACTGACCCAGATGCTGCTTGGAAAGACACGAACAGCTGTGGAAACAGCATTAACATCTATTAGTTATTTAAACCATAGGGCTCCAAAAAACCAATGGATTTCTTCCAAGTCTATTTCACTGATGGATTCGCGTAAACTCATCCCATCAGGCTCTGAACACGACGAAGAGCGTAAACAAATTAGATCTAGGTTAACTAAAAGTCTAAGGAACGATCGTGAGCAGTGGTGGGCAACGAAAGCAAAAGAGATGGAATAGGCAGCGGCTGTAGGCAACACCAGGCAACTATTCAGACTAATAAAAGAAACCGGAATTAAGAAGTCGTGTAAGTGAAACGATCTCGGAAAAGGACGGAACCCTTATCTGCTCTCAACCCAAATGTTTAGAACGATGGGCGGAACACTTTAAGGAGCAGTTTAGCTGGCCTTCAGCTACTGCACAACTACCCACTATTCCCAGAAAACCTGAATAGAACATTGAAGTAGGCCCCCCGAACCTACTTGAAGTTCAAAAGGTCATAAGTAATCTGAAACGAGGAAGAGCAGCTGGTCCAGATGGATTGGCTCCAGAGGTCTTTAAATATGATGGTCCAATTTTAGCGATTAGGTTGACTAATATTCTGACTAAAATCTGGGAGTTGGACGTAATCCCATCTGACTGGTCACAATCTCTGATTGTCCCAATATATAAGAAGGGGCCAAAATCATCCTGTGATAACCGTAGGGGGATTAGTCTGACTAACATAGCATCTAAAATACTAGCCTCAATAATTATCGGGCGCCTAACTAAGACTTGTGAACTGCAAACACGAAAAAATCAGGCTGGCTTCAGACATGGTCGTGGCTGTATCGACCACATATTCACCATTCGTCAAGTTTTAGAGCACAGACATGCTTATCGGCTTCCGACAATGATAGTTTTTCTTGACTTGAAAGCAGCATTTGACTCTGTAGACCGAGAGGTTCTGTGGCAGTGTCTGTCATTGAAAGGTGTACCTGAGAAGTACATAAACCTTGTGAAGGCTCTTCACTCGAACACAACCAGTCGAGTGAGAGCTTATGGCGAACTGTCATATGATTTTACATCCTCAAGTGGTGTCCGTCAAGGCTGTCCACTATCCCCATTTTTGTTTAACTTCATTATAGACCTGTTGCTGGAAATAACACTCTCGTCGACTGAATTTTCAGGAATTGATCTTCTACCAGGAGGTTCACTTATCGACTTAGAATACGCAGATGACATAGTCCTGTTTGGTGAAGACACTGACAAAATTCAGAGTCTTCTGTTAGAACTGAGTAATAGTGCCAGGATGTTTGGGATGCGTTTCTCCCCATCCAAATGTAAATTGTTACTTCAGGACTGGCCTGTGTCAACACCTGAACTAAGGATAGGGAGTGAAGCGGTCGAACGCGTCGACAACCTCACTTATCTTGGAAGTCTGATCAGCCCTAATGGGTTGGTGTCTGACGAAATCTCAGCACGGATTCAAAAAGCTCGTTTGGCTTTTGCCAACTTACGTCACCTATGGCGAAGACGAGATATCCGTCTATCAATTAAGGGACGAGTATACTGCGCAGTAGTTCGCTCTGTTCTAATTTACGGCTGTGAAACGTGGCCATTAACAGTAGAAGATACTCGTAGGTTACTAATATTTGGTAAATCAGTTGATAAGTTTTTGAATCTTCATAGACCGAGATGGTTGGGCCACGTGTTACATATGCCTGATCACCGATTACCACGACGCGCTATGTTGACTGGTATTGAGGATGGTTGTAAGAGAGTTAGGGGTGGCCAAACTAAAACATGTCATCAGTGCTTGAAGTCACTAACTTTTAGTCAGAGCCATTGTTGGCAGATGCAGACTACCTGGTTGGGGTCCACGTGACTATCGTAACCAATGGTTGGAGACTCTAGGTGACATGGCTCAGAATCGATCACAATGGCGTAGGTTTATACACTCTTTATCTTCCCTTAAACCTTGAGATTAGAACTGCTTCATAACTTCCTTCCTTCCTGTACTATATCCTTATATACAACCTTTCTTTTATATATTACCACCACTAAATTAATTACTTCTATGAATCCGGTGTTGATCTTGTTGTGCTAACGAGGTATGGCAACTTGGACTGATGCATATATGTGCCTGGTCCTACGTTGTAGCTGACTGACTGACGTCGGGGTAGAAGATCAGTTGAATGGCGCTTCGAAAAACTGCTCATCGTCCAAGACGTAGGTGGATGTTTTTGATCGGCACTTCATCAGCTTCACAGATTGTGTCGCCCACACTAGACTTCTTGCTGATGGTGACTTGGATGAGTTGAAAGAGCTTCTGCCAGTCACCAAAAGCGCCTGCTGTCTCCAAATTGTTAGCACACTTCTACCACCTAGTTTCTCAGTTCTTATGCAAGCTTTGCCCAATTTCATCACATGACAATCTTCGTTTATGGTCAAAATCGCAATCACCTGGGGTAGACCAATATGCTTCAACGTGTTGTAAGGAGCCTGAAGAAACACAGTGCTTATAAGCGCGATGTTAATCGAAGCCGCAGGCGACTTTACTGACCATTTTCATGGCATCATGCTACTGCAGCCAATGCTCACCTATACATTTCGGTGGGCTGATATCTAGTCTTGTACATAACTCGGTTTGATATTTAGTTGCAACAGGAGCTGCAACCAATTCACTGACATCAATCTGTTCAGGGCGATTAATATGTTGGCCACTGAAACGTTAGATCAGGTTAGCTCAAAAAGGTCATAATCAGAGTTCGTGTAAGTACTTCAGAAGAGGCGGCAGTCTTGTACACAACCACACCGACTGTAACTGATCGCAACAATTAACGTGAGTCCAGATTTGAGATGCAAAGGGAGGATGGCAGTTAGCACATTGGCGATGACTGTACTAATAGTTAGTGCTAACAAGAAACAGGGTGTTATCTGAGAAAAGTTGCAGTAGACGGTCACTGTTATCCGAACTGCGACCAACAAGTCTACATTGGTCACGTAAACAGCTCTCTTTTGTGCAATTTGTTTCCCCAGGATCCTGGAACTTCTATGCACTGCTGATTTAGAGTCAGGGTTTTGCAACTCTTCTCGGTAATTCCTCCATACCCACTAACCCAATTGAGACGGCAGACATTCGCTTTTCATTCTCCCAATTTTGTAAACTGCATCCTCGCTATAAGAAGTCAGTGTTTGTACACACAAACCCATGGTATACGCATGTTGTGTTATATAATATACATGAGGAATGTGGAAAAAAGTTACAGAATGTCAACAAACTAAATACTTTCTGTGTATTTGATTTGATATCTTATATGTATTTACAACACTCCAGTCATTACATCTAATTCTTTAGACATAGTTTTGTTGTTCCTCTTTGGGTATCACATTCTTGTCTTTCATTAATGTCGAGCTATGTGCATCATTTGTGCGATGTAACTTCATATCACGTTTGTTTCAAATACTTTCAATTTTTTCTCTTGGATTCCCGACATAAAATTGACTCAGCTTGTTTATCATCTCAATACTGAGTGCCAAGATGAAAATATTAAATTAAATTTAATAATAGTACAGAATTACTATAAGTATAATTAAAACGAAAGCAAAGCGAAATCGAAACACCTACCAAGTATGTTTTCACTAACAGTCAATGATCGCCTTGTACCTTGGATAGACCAGGAAAAAATGCAGTAATTTGAAGTACATTCCATACCGAACAACTCATAACCACATTATAAACAAAATCGACATTTGAATACGCTTGAACTATTATACTTTTTTAGTATATATATATATATATATATATATATATATATATATATATAAGCATAATTACTGGATACCCTATTTTAGTAAGATTATGTGACCAAATCTTTATAAAAATTCTTATTTAAGATGTTTATTTTGATATATAAAAATACTTCTTTCTAGTTGATATTACCACATACCACAATGGATTTCATGGTGATGTGAATGAGACAGTGTTTGTAGATCAGCCAGATGATCGTTCAGTTAATCTAGTGAAAAATGCTTACAAATGTTTGGTTAGATCTATGGATGCTGGTAAGTTTATTGGCTTTTTTGTTTTGGTCGCCTTAATTACACATCGTTTTACTATATATAGAGTAAAACGTCTTATGGCTTCTGTATTAATGTTAAATAGGTTCAAGAACCAACTTTGAGCATAAAGAGAGATGTCTTCTAAGAAGAAAACTCCCACAATCGACTCAACTGTAGACGTAAATAGACCACATTGGCATCAATCATCGTTGAGGTTCTTTAGAAGATTGTCGCTGATGCTAGATCACTTGTTTAGATTCAAATCTTGTTCTAGTACAAGTACGTGTTTGTCTGCATCATACTGGACGTAGAAGAGCCTCAACGAGAAGACCCCTTGACGTTTAACTCAATGATAAAAAAAAACAAGAATTTATTTCGGAAACAACTAGAGAGGGAGTTACTCAATTGTCAAAGTGATATCCAGACAGCCATGAAAACAGCAATACTACCTACGAACGACTACAATCAGTAAGTTAGGAGATACTAGTGGATTCCAGTAGCGTTTAGTGAACTAGTAGATGCTCAGAAACTCATCCCGTTAGGCTCCGGACAAGATGGGTAGCGAAGGAAAATTAAAAATAGACTGGCAAAAAGTTTACGCAATGATCATAAGTTGTTAAAGCAAAAGTGTTGTAAGAGATAATGACGATGAGCACCAGTAGACAAGTTTCCAGTTATATTCAAAAAGTGAGTGCTAAAGCTCCGAAATTTAATGACAATATTTCTCAAAAAGATGCAACGATGACCCACTTTTCACCCAGGAGACTGGAACGATGGACAGAACACTTTGAAGTACAGTTTAACTGCTCCTCAACTACTCTTCAGTTTCTTGCTTTTACCAAGCAATCTGAATGGTATATCAACATGAGCCGCCCCCATCCCAATCATTAGACTAGCGGAAAAATCCATAACTAATCTAAAGCAAAGGAGAAGAGCGGGTTCTGATGAGTTGACCCACAAGATATTTAAAGTTAGTGGTCCAGTTTTAGCAATTAAATTTACTGAGATCTTAGCTAGACTTTGAGAACTGGACGTCATACCATCTGATTGTTCTTGACCGTTGATGGTTTCAGTCTACAAGGAAGGACAAAAATCCTCTTGAGATTATTATAGAAGAACCAGTTTGATTAGTGTAGTGTATAAAATACTAACTTCAATAATCACCCGACACCTGAATAGAGCTCACAAAAGGCAATCTTTGAGAAACCAGGCTGGTTTTAGACCTGGACGTTGATGTATCGACCAAATAATCGTTTTTCGCCAGGTTCTGAAGCTTGCCTTTTGACAGCCGAATGTACTTGTATTCCTTGACACCAAGGTGGATTTCGAGATTGTTGATTGTAAGGTTCTGTGGTAGGGTCTGTCATTGAAAGACATACCAATAAAGTACACCAGCCTTCTACAGGCTCTACTCAAACACTACTGGTCGAATCAGAGCTTATGGCGAACTTTCATCATCATTATTTACTTCAATTGATGATCATCAGAGTTTTCTAGAATTTTCAGGAAAACCCAAAGAACTTCTAAAATTCTATAAAAACCTTATATTTTCTGTACATAAATGAACCTTTGGAGTAAAGTGCTTCTCGTATATTTTGCTCCTTTTCTCTCGTGTTCAAATCGCTGTGTAGTTCTAGCTTGGGGGTTGCGAGACTAGCTTAGGATCCGAATATAGCGTTCAGTTAGCAAGACTTATCAGAACACTTGATGAATGTAGAAATTTTCATCGGTTTTAAATGATTAATGACTCTTGAAATTATATAAATATTTTATAGGTATTAATTTAGTCTACTTAATCTTTCATATTTTTATCTCAACATTTTAGTTTTTCCAGGTGTTAAATATCGTGAAATGGGAGATATAATTTCAAAAAATGCTTCACATGGTGGATTTTCTGTTGTCAAGACTTATTCAGGTCATGGAATACATCGGTTATTTCATTGTCCTCCAAATATTCTTCACTATTCACGTAAATTCATTTTATCGAAAAAAACACAAACATTTTCACTGTTTTATATATAAAGTATATTTGTAAATCCATTATAACTGAGTAAGAATAAGTGCTTATTTTCGCTCTATTCATGAAGATGGATTGATTCATAAATCATCACTAATATATAGACATTAGAAAGTGTATTAATATATCGGTTTTGTCATTCCATTAACCATTGACATACACTGATGGCTTAATTTCATTAGATGAGTATTGAATCAGATGAAGAAAAAAAGTGTTTTACTTTTTTTCTTTAAAAAAAAAGAGTTACAAAACATACACAACCACAAAACTAATTGATATCAAACAAGAAAAACGATTTCTGTTCAATGAAAATTCTGGAAATGTCAGATGATCATAAATTGTTTATTTTTGTGATACATCGTTAATATGTCGATGTAGTTCATAGTATTACTGATTAAATTCCAATGAAGTTGTAGTAATGATACTGTAGTGAACAAGAACACGAGTACGAACAATCGAATGTATTTGTGCACAAAATTACAGAATATTTCACTAAAATCTGACAAGCATACAGTAAACAGTTAATTTGCAAACTATTAACCAATTGTCTCAATCTTGACCGTTCCTTCAGCAAATATCAACCCATCGTCTCCGATTATTATTGTACATGCATTTTCATACCGATTCCGTCCCCTTCCCGTTCTCTCCTTATCGATCTTCTACTGAAATACATTCAGCGCCTGACCATTGTTATGTACTACTTATGTAGATATAAGTAACCCACACCACATTACGACAATCCTAATTATTATGTTCAATTTTATGTATTAATAATTGGTGGTTAAGGTTTTGAGTATTTCTGTTGTTTTACTCGTTATCAATTTTTTGTCATCTCCTTGGCAGACACATCTTCGACGTCTGTTGAATTGTCATTCTCCGTGTAAGAACATACTTCGTTTTAAAGATACTAAGTATTTTGATGATAGTCTACAGAGATTTCCGCATACCGATATTACGCTTGCTCTTACACTAATTGCACCTCCGGAAAACGTTTAAGACAGAGGATAGTGAAAATAGAATAAATATTATGTAATAAATATAGAGTTTGATTGTGTACTACGAGGTTCACGCAGCAATGACAATCACATTGGTACAGATGTGCCAGTATGTACCTAGAGATGATTTAACTCACTAGTTTTAGAAGTTCTCAACTTGGTTCAGAATGGATAAGCTAATAACGGTCGTCCTTCTGTAGGTTTCTTGATAAAAGTAAGAGGAACTTCTATTATTAAAAGAATTCTTCAGGGTTATATTTTTAAAGACCGATTTACTTTTCCGTTTTCTAATATTTTCTCATTCATTTATTGATATTTATTTCGCCTATCCATCTTGTTTATTTCATCTCGTCGTGCTAGTATCATATTTTTGAAAAATCATTCATTTCACCATCGGGTTATATTAGAGGTTTGATTTGTTTTTCAGTATTTATGACAACTTAAAATAGGATGTAAAGTTTATGTCGTGAAATTAGTGACAATATTTATGGTCAGTGATAAAGAATATATTGAATCTTAGATGTGTCAACCAGTTCAAAAACTCACACTTTAATTCACATTATCGACAGGATATAAATAATCTGGAAATCGAAACGAGTCAAAGTACTATTTGTAACATCAATACTGAAAAGCATTGAACATAGGAAATATAGTTCAAAATGAACTGACGTGGTATCAGATTCGAACCTACTAACTGTGTAGTTTAAAGTCGAGTGTTTTTGAATATCTAAATCAACACTTCAGTAACCTTTGGAAAAACTAAAATTGTTAGGCTTATATATATATATATATATATATATATATATATATATATATATATATAGGTGTCGGTTACAAATGATGTGTAAAATTGAAATACAATAACTCATTCAGTAGTCTTCTAGACCTTTCAATCTCAAGTGTGCTTTTGCAACAGTCTCAAAATTGCTCAAAAACTTCCGTTTAACATAAAGCAACTATTGCTTGACGAGTTGAGTATTTCGGTATGCATATGATTTATTGGCATCAACCATCTGTTTGATTGTATAGACTACTGATCATCTGAATACAATCCTATTATTACAGGCTCTTGTTCTCATTGTTAGTTCATGATTTTAACTAAAGTGAATGGGCCAAGTATTAAATTCATATTGTTGAAAACAGTACTTAAATTGTCGTACAAAACTTCGTTTAAATTCACTTATATTGTAGTATAATTAAATATTTCAAGTGTGTTTTTTTGAATACGTTTTAAAGGCAATAAGGCAGTCGGTGTCATGAAACCAGGACATTGTTTCACCATTGAACCAATGATAAATCAAGGCGATTGGCGTGATGAATTATGGCCAGACAATTGGACTGCAGTAACTGCGGATGGTTTAAGATCAGCTCAATTCGAACATACTATGGTTATTTTAAAACCAGAATTAGCCGCATCAAATGGAATGCCAATTGAAGTATTAACTAAACGTCATATCAAAGGTAGTGATCCATTAAATGGATGTAAATTCAATAAAGAAGATACTTTACATTTTGAACGTTATGGTAGACCTTATTTTGTTGATCAATTGTACAAATTAGGTTTAAATACTGATTGTACAGTGCTTAAAGATGTATCTAAAAATTGAATAATTTATAAAACTTCCAGAATCTTGAACAAATCCAACTTCTTTTCTTACTAAGCGAATGCTTTTACACTTTTTGTGTACGAATTATCTGAGTAGAGAAAAGGGACGGTATTCAAATATAATACTTCCTGTTTTATGATATTGATTCTTATTTCATTTCTACTATTACAGTATTAAGCTAATACTCGATAATCTATAATAAGACTTTAATATTATGTATTTATACTGACTAAGGTATCCGTAACAGTAATGTTATTGATTTTAGAATTTGATGGCCACTCTAGGCTACACGATAATACAGATTGATAGATAACAAAGAAGCTACAGGACATGCATTACATTCAGTCAGTCATAGACAACATAGAATCTAGAATATATCTGCACCAGTCCATGTTTACACACTGCAATACCAAATTTAAACGAAACTATCAAGATAAATACCGAAACATTATTACCATCAGTGGTTGTAAAAAGGATTTTGTATAGAGAATATAACTCATGAAGAAAGGAATTATTCGTAGGATGGAAACATATGACTTTTAGTAATTATATGAAGTTACAATTGAAAATGATAACCTGATAAGTGCCTATTGCTGAAAACATATTCGATTTAGGTTTTTAATTGTTATTGTACCACTTCTGTGAAACGAAGAAAGTCTACTTCATTTTGTTTATTGAAAATGTGGAAGGATTGACAATGTCAACATTAACTCATTAAGATCTAAATGCTGAGCTATTGAATTGTTTACAACTTTTAAACTGTTTAGTATCAAATTATATGGAACATGTACAACTCTCGCTTTTCTTTCACTTGTGTGCTGTGTCGAATACATGTAGATTGGTAAATGCAGTAGCAGGTAATGAAAAAAGGAGACCTTTCGTATTTTGTTTGTCTTGGAGAGTAGTTTATTTTGTTATCAACCCAGATTCTAGATCAGCAAACCTCATTTATGTCGTGATTAATTATTTCAGTAATTTCGTCTTCTCGGGAGTTAAAGTAAAGAAATCAAGTTTTCTTCTCATTAGTTTCGATGTACTTCTTGATAATTTTCTATGGGTGTCCACTTCCACGTAGATACTTTTTAATGATTGTAAGCACTTCTGCTAGTTGTTCAGTGGTTCAAAATTTGAGCGCAAAATAACAAAGTGTTCAAGCAATCCTATTTATATTTGACTGGACAACAGGTTTATTCAATGGTTTTCCTCTAGGCTAGATAACAAAGAAGCTACAGGACATGCATTACATTCAGTCAGTCATAGACAACATAGAATCTAGAATATATCTGCACCAGTCCATGTTTACACACTGCAATACCAAATTTAAACGAAACTATCAAGATAAATACCGAAACATTATTACCATCAGTGGTTGTAAAAAGGATTTTGTATAGAGAATATAACTCATGAAGAAAGGAATTATTCGTAGGATGGAAAGTGAAGAGTAATTCTGAATTTCAGGGTGTAAGAGAAAACAAAGAGTGCACACATCTGAAACACATGACACAATGTCTCCAATCATTCATAACCTCAAATAAACAGTCTATACATATATCAATACGGTTCAGACAAACAATCAATGACTTCATGCTGTGATGACAAATATTAGTTTTGTTCTCCTTATGTTTTTCCCAACACACTGCAACCAACATTATGCGTCAACGCAAGTGGTTGTTGAAACTACGTGATGAATGTGCCAATCACTTCAATTGATGAAGACTTGATACTTCGTCAACTGACTTGCCATGTATGTCTAGTGCTTTACGTCTAATATCAACACTGATTATCCTATGGTATTAACATTCGTGAGTAATTCTTCTAAGGTATTTGTGATTGAATACTAGTAACCTATGATTATACTGTACCTTTAAAAAGGCGATATTTTTCTGAAATCCCAGGTCTTCCGAAATGTCGCAGTTTTTTCAGTTTAGTGAGCATCATTTCATAACGTAGAATGTGTACTATTCAGATATATAAAGATATATGAGTATAATCTCTGTAGTGAATATAAATTAACAAAAGTCTTTTATTACTAAGTAACATGCATAACTGAACTTTGTTTTGCTTCTCTGTACTAATCAATAAAATAATTTGCTTAACAATTGAACTAAGACTTTTATTATACTTTTGTTCAAAATATATGACCTAAATTAGAAGTATTTAATTCATGCATGGTTTCAACCATACCTATGTTTGCTTTATTTATAGTTAATTAGATATGAAAAAAGAACAAAATCTGTTTTCTATTTTTAGAATCATTTACGTACAACTACTTATGGTTTTATATATATATATATATATATATATATATATATATATATATATCGGTATATACTTCAAAATCTTTGAAAACTGTGGATGACGGTTCTCCGGAAGTTGTGCCTTGGGCCCTGCGGTCACGTTCTCAATTCACTAAGATCACCATTAACTCAGCTTCATATTCAGGTCATTTGTCAGCCGGAAGTGACAACTGCTGTCGCATATCTAGCAGCACCTGATATCATCATGTACACAGGAAAATTCATCCTTCACCTCTTAATAATCCTCCTATCTTCACGACTTCTCGCATTCTCGCATATCTCCGTCATCACGCGTAATCAATGCTAATTATTTGAGTTCACAAAATGTTATTCCTGGTCTCCTGAAATCACGCTCTAAACCACATTTTGTGGCTTACAATGTTCGAACATCGTTTCTGATAGAAGGACAGGCCTTTTTTAGCTAGGTTTCTAGAATTCCGTCCTGTCTGTGAATTCTGCTTTCTTGAAACGTGTAAAAATGCTCCAAGTACAGTCACTCATTCGATCTCGAGTCGAAAAGAAAAAAAAACGGTGATTTACTCTGCGTATCTGGAGTCCCCACTATCACTTCCTGTAACCTCACTGGTGTAAAAGTAATATAGCAACAATCCTACAACCAATTTGGATTATGGTTAATTTTCCTTAAGCCCTTTTACTAACTTAACAAAAAATTTTATTTGAACAGTAACAATTCACACATTATTTGTACTGTTATGATCACTAAAGCACATGACAGACCCTAGCTAAAGCGTTGATTGCTTAAATTTCGCTCGATGATTTATCATCTCCATATATATATGTACTCAAATCCTATTATTAGCTTTTGCCTTGATGCGCCCTTATACAATATATAAATTTACCTATGTCGTCGCTCGCATATACTTATTCGCCTCTCTGTGTCCAATTCGTTTGGTGTGCTCATAACTTTGTGATCTGCACTATCCGCTAATAAACTGTAGTTGCCGCTTCTTTTTGCCTTTTGATTTCAAACACCGTTGTGATTTACATTATGATGGTTATCGAGTTTAGCGATTAGCGAAACAAAGATAGTACGTTAGAATTCTGTTCAAACGTAGAATAGACTCTCCTAGACTGGATTTCAATATACCGTCGCTTGTTCGTTGTTTCAGTAAATGGGACGGTAAATACTATGAGAGGTATGTGCACACTCCATTGCCTCTCTCTAACTGCAGCTCAGATGCAGTAAAAGATTGATGGACTGCCGCTAATTTTGGAGAGTACGTGTTATAACTTGTGATCACCTGGATGCCCTGTTAACGTATAACATGATAATGCCGCCAATTAGAGAACAGTGATTTATCAATCGAACCAATGACACACAAAACTCGTACGTGCATCCTAGCCCAACCAGTTAAGTCCAAAACACCAATCTCATCCTCTGCAATATGAATCATTGTATTTCAAACATACTGAGCTTATATACCGAACAAACAGGCCACATCGTACCATAAATAGAAAAACAACATTTGTACAAGATTTAACTAAATGTGGTTGTGAATAAAGGAGATAGTAAACGATAGACGACATGTAGTGCCGTGCTTCGCTAATCGTTCACCCTGATAACCGTTATGATACAAATCTTAACGGTGTATAAAATCAGAAGGCAAAGAGAAGCGGCAGCTACAGTTTTATTGACAAATGACGCAGGCCAGAAAGCTATAAGCACATAAGTAAATATCAGCGAGCGAAACAAAAATGACACGCATTGGAGGTGGCGAGTAAGCAAACTCACTTTAATCAAGCGTTAACCAATATTTATAGTCAGACAAGAATAAGTTACAGACATGCGATGAGTAGGATAAGAAGTGTACACACACCTACGCTCATATAAAAATGGTCAGGGTTAATAAGTGAATGATTAACAAGGGGAAAAATGATCCTGATGGTGAATTCACTTGTCCAGAAGTAAGAATAAGGCATATGGGCTTGACATAACAACCGATAATACAGAAATAATTCAAGAATGGTAAATCATATAACAATAGTTTATGGGTCAAAATAAAGCACATAATAAGAGGAACACAAATATGAATAGTTTAGTTATTTAGCAATTATACGATAAAAATATATGCATAGTATTGGTCCATAAATGGATCCCAAAGTTATCATTCACTATTGTTATCGGGACATAACGTTACTAGTTTTAGACCATAGGTGTCTCCGAAGTATCACTCGTATATTTTGGCACCATCGGTTTAACAGTTTTCAGATTAGACGCATAATACAAGGTTGGAAGGGCAAACCAACTGACCAGGTAGTGAGTTTTTATTGGCAAAACCAAAACATGGTGCCAATTCATGATGACGATGGCCTTGGGACTGAGCCCTGTCAACAGGTGCAAATTACCTGACTGGGTTTTTCGTGATTATCGTAATCAATGTTAGAGACGGTATGATAACTTGAAGTCGTATCTTGGATGCCCAGTCTTTTCTACTACTGTGATGTATGCTAATTATGTCGACATACATCAGTATTATGTAACACCACTCGGAAGTGGGAAACCTGGTATTAGAAGGCTAAGATCTAGTTGAAAAGAATAGAAGGGGAAGTAGAAAGGAATTGTGGACTAGAATAGGCATACAGAATGTGAAGGACAAACGATGGGAATTCGCAAATGAAGTATTCAGTGTAAGGTTCTAATGCTTTAGCAAGACATTCTGTTGAATGTACCCCCCTTGTTTTCTCTTTCACAACAATACCACCAATACTGTTTCTACCTCTACTACTATGAGGTTAGTCGTGACAATTTCATTTCTCTGTGCTGATATGGTGTAACAACTACAAGCATTGTACACATGTACCAGGTTCAACATTATTTTTAACTGACTAACAGTCAGATGTTGCCCAGATTACTTAGGTACTTTTCGAAAAAATCATCTTTCCGATAGACCAGATAAACGTCAGCATACCAATCCAAACAGTTAGATCTTTAGATATCAATTCGAAACAACCAGATGGATCAGGAAATGGATAGCTGAGTTGTTAAAAATACTATGTGCTAATATTATGAGTGAATGTACTATAACATAACACCTTTATTAAAATAATTGTGAGAGACCAATCGGATTTCACCTAAAACTTTTCTAATCAATGTAGTACATCTAACTGAATAGATTTTCTACGTATTGGATGGTATTCTCGTCTGCGTAAAAAGATCAGTGTATAAAAGGTGAAATATGAACGAAACAGAATTTGTTATCTGCACAAATCACTATTTTATAAATATAAAAATATGCGTTTAGGTCGTGCAGCTTGGATCGGTTTAAATACAGCCTCATATATATGTGAATTAGTATTTCTGTGTTTGGCAATCGCAGCACAAATTTCACCAGATTGGGCTGTTTACGATGTTACATATATTGGCCTTATTGATGATTATAATCAATTAAGTCGTTCTCGTGGATTATGGAAACAATGTATTACTAACGAAATAGGTAAGATTTCACATAAAGTATCTTTATTAATATAGTTTATTATCAATTGTAATCTATTGTAAAGAAATTCTTATAGTTACTATCTTGATTGATACCACAATGAGTTGTTTGTATCTGTGATCATAGATCTTATAGACTGAAACGAAATGAAAGATGAATGAGTGACCTTCAATGTAAATACTAGAAAATGAAGGAATTGATAAAGGATTGTGCACATTCTATGATAGAAACTTCAGATAACAATATCACTAAAATTCACTTTGCTATGTACAGGTAAACAATCCGAAATAATTGACGATTGATGTGCGAATTGTATTGTGTATTGGAAAATTTCACCAACCAATGTTGTTTATTATAAGCAAAGATGGATGGTGACTAGCAGTGAAATCCAGGACGCGCGTTTCGTCCCATTTGGGACTTGTCAGCCGGATGTACCTGCATCGCAGAGTTGATGTTTACTCTGGGACTCGAACCCAGTACTTTTCGCGTCAAATGCCATTGCGATATACACTCAGCCAAAGTTGTTTATTTACTATTGACACACATTATTTGCTTTTAAACATGTACAGTTGTTAAATAATTCATGTTTAGAAATTAGTTTTCACTTCTAAGCTATGACTTCCTAAATCAGTACATCATTCAGTGAGAGTTAATGTATTTTTCTTAATTAGACAACGATTGTTTTAGTCAAATAAACACATTTATTTTACAGAAGAGAAATCCATTCACTCCATTGCTTTCCTTTAATGTATTTTTAGTAAGTACATCATACAATGGTCAATGTTATCCTCTGGAAAATTGTGAAGAATTTAGCAGCTACAATGATAATGTTCTACCAATATTTTGTAAGTCTGTAAAATGTTTCGTAAAAAATATAACGAATAATAGAAACAAAAATATATTTTGAAATGAACACGAAATTCGTCACTGATATAGTCGAGTTGTGAATATTATTATATTTGATAGTTTCACATCGAGTGCTAATATCGGTTGGACAATCATTAGATATGATGAAGCATTGGAGGACTGATCTTCGATGTATGAGAGAAATGTGGAGTGCTTATCCATGACGTCAGCGTAAACCGACCTCACGAGATTCAGATGTCGAAATGAGTGCTTATTCACTATACAACTCTAAAATGATGTATATCTGAATCATCGGATTCATTTACCAATGCAGATTTCTCATCGTAGTAGCTTGTTGAACTCGTGTATGTAGTGAATATAATGGCTGTGTGATTGATATAAGATCGGTTTCGTGAGGAGTTTCTATCCAATATAGAGATCCGTTAACCAGAAGACCTGATCATCCTGATTGGGGACCTGAACATCAAGGTCACTGTGAACGACACAACGTATGAAAACATAATGCGGCTACATGGAGTGGAAGTGAGGAACGAGAATATTCATTGACTAAGAAGTCTTTGTGCTTTCAACAACATGCTTGTTGGTGGTACTGATTTCTCACACAAATGCATGCACTGAGCTACATGGATTTTACTGGATTACACTACAGATGATCAGATTAGTAACTTACATATCAATGAAAATTTCAAAAGTTCGATGGAAGAAATGATAACAAAGAGAGATGATATTGCTTGAGATTACCACTTGTTGGTGTTAAAGCCATGTCTTAATCTAAACAAGGATTGAGCAAATATTGGGAAAATTAGAACAACACATGTAAGCGAACAATATTGTTTTCAAAACGGAAAAAGGGGGAAAATTACAAACAAAGGATAACGAAATTAAAAATAAAACTCAAATAAAATAGTAATGTCGTTTGTTATGTCTGGCCATGGAAGGGATAGGGAGTTTACAAATTTCTTCTGTACACATAAATTGGGATGAAAATGTATGAATTCCTATGGCTTAAGCTATATGAAGGAGACGGGAACGAACTCCGTTGAGAAATGATGGAGGTATACTATAGATTACTAGAGATGATTTCGATTTATCTACATTACGACCACTATCAATTAGATGTGCCAAGATAGAACTGCATATTGTTTTTATCTGGCCCTTCCCAAACCATACTGGTAGATATTCACTCATTAAGTTGTCTAGTAGTACGCCCGATATAGTTATCTCCACAGGAGCAGCTGAACTTATAAATGCACATAGAGGAGGCCTACTCAGGTAATTTTTCCTTCGCTTGAGTGGGTATCGTTGGTCGACTCCAGAAAGTCAACATAAGATTGACTGAGTTGAATGTCCTTCTAATTACTTTCATTAACCTATCTTTCAGCGTATCACTAGCCACATCCCCGTTGAATTGTAGTTTCATGTATAAAGGTTTCGTTAGAACAGTTGAAATCTCAGACTTCTTTCTTGCATCATACATGTACTTCTTAATGAACGCACTAGAGTAGCCGATCTCTGTCAGTGAGTTATTGGAAAATTCCAGCTCCTGACTTAAAGTATTTACTGAACAGATCTTTTTTGATCTAGTAGTGAGGCATCTAACCAAATTTATCTTATATCGGATAGGTGTAAAGCTATAGAAGTGAGTATATTGGCAGGCTGAATGACTTTTTCTATACACAATTCTACATAACGAACCATCACTTCGCCTGCTTAGTGTGACATCAGGGAAATTCAGCTTTTTGCCACACTCACCTTCACCAGTGAAACTAACCTCTGGATGTACACTGTTGAAATTTTCTAAGGGTTTATCCCTACTGGTGTTTTGATTTACGACAATGAATGTGTTGTCGATGTAGCGGCAGTATAAATCAGGCTTCATAATAGTCTCATTGAGTGGTCCAGTTTCTAGCTTGACTAGCAAGAGATCAGCTAGAATCGTGCCTACTATCCACTTGTACTTTTAACTATTATGCTCAGTGACGTATTCTACTTCATTCGGGACGACAGTAGACTCACTGAGTTCAAGATGGATCTCGGCAACAAGCTTAATGCCCTACGAGATCTGTTAGAAAAACAGAAATATACTATGGAGAGACATTGGACAGGGACTGAAGTGGTAATAACTTCAACATCTCCAGAGTGACTGGGTCGCACGTAATGTCAGAAAAAAGACTGAATCTCTATGGGCACTTTGGACAAGATTAGAAAAAGGAAGTACACGAACACAGCAATTAGGAACAGTCAAACGTAAGTTGAGAAAGCCATGGCATATATATATATATATATATATATATATATATATATATATATTTCGTATGCTCAAGTTTCTGCATGAAACAAAAAAAATTTCATATTAGATATACATGGTAATCAATAAACTTTATGAATTCATTTTTCCTCAGTAATGAGACATACTATAAACATACTGCAAATCGCTGCGATCATCTTGGTTTTCATCAACATCATTATAACATGTGCAATTCTTCTCACAGCATGTATGACACCCCAGAAAATCAGATATCGAACAGCTCAATACGCAGCTTTAGGTGGAGGAGCCGGATTATGGTTTACAGGTAAATTTCTTTCATGTATTTTAAGTCGTCATATAATATAAGTGGAAGAGTGGCTCGATCGTAAAACTATAGAGTTTTCAAACAATAGGTCCCAGTTTGAAGCTAATCGGCATCACTTCAGTTCGGGTTTCACGGACAGTAGTACTACTAGCATTTGGACAGTGATTGTGACTAAAAACCGAGTGTTTTAACCTGTTCTAGATAGATGAGTTCTGTTGTCGCATATATATAATTATATTCGTCACACTTTAAATATTTGTGAACATTTTTCTACAGATATGTAAAACATACTACGTACACATGTATGATGACTGATAACTTTCAAAAGAACTTTATTCACTAAACAGTAAACATATTTCCTTCACGATCAACATTTCTGGTTGTGCTACTTATTTTTATCTGAAATTATCATCGGAATTAATTACAAGTAGTTTCACAAATTCCCGAAAACGTATTCATTACTTTTTAAATTCAAGTAGTATGAATCATACGTAGAAGTTTCTGTGTGAAGTTGAACGATTGAAGTATGAATAGGTTGAAAATGTTTAACACAACTAGTAAACTGATAACAACATCAAACTCACAGAATGGAATCATCATCATCATCATTCTCCAACTTCAAGAGATATGAAATAATTGTGGCATAACAGATTAGTTTGGTTTAGACATTGAAAAATAATGGAATTCATGTTACATTAGGTTTACTGCAACCTATGTATATTGAGAGTTTGTCGGTATCATCATGGAATTCGTACTTGGTAGAATTCAAATGAATTGGCCATTGGGAAGACTGCTATTAATAAAAATAATTCATTTGTAGTATCTGAATGAGTATGAAGATGAGATTTTCTGATGTTTTGTGTTTCAGTGCAAGGCACTTCTTCACAGTATTATTATTATTATTATTAGTATTAGTATTAGTATTAGTATTAGTATTAGCATTAGTATTAGCATTCCTACTGACTTTATTCGATATTATATTTTTGGGACAATATAGAATTCTCATCACAAAGTATTTCAACAAGTTTCCTTTACAAAAAATATGGGACAAAACCGATAACTGCATACATATATACGAAACCTGAGTAGATAAACTACCTGGAACTGAATAAAACGGTTTTATAAGAAAGAGATTTGAATCTGTACAACATTTTAATTCGAAACGTGTTTAAGTACACAAGTTACTGATTAGGTGAAGAGGAAAATATGAATGAAGTAGATAGTTTGTATCTGAGATGATATCACCTGTCATGAGTTTGGAAGATGGCGCTCTGAACTCAAATGTGTAGGGCACAACAACTTACTTACTCACACACGCCTGTTACTCACAATGGAGCAAAGGTCGCCGACCAGCATTCTCTAACCCACTCTTTCAATTGATTGTTCCACAATGATACGTAGAGTTGCGATTTGGTCTGTACACGGTCGATCCATATGGAATCCAGCCTGTTAGTCTCGAAGTTGGGCGTTAACGCAGTCCTTCATTCTGCTTAACAACACGCTGCTGAAGACTTTTCCTGGTATTGAGAGAAGTATGATGCTTCTGAAGTTATCACACTTGACGAGATCACCTTTCTTTGGAATTTTAATCAGATGTCCTTCTTTCCAGTCTGCAGGTACTAGTTCTTCATCAGAATGGTCAGGTCTTTTGTTGGACACTTCTCGACGATCGACTGCAGCCTATCGTAGAATTGATCTTATTGATGGCCGGAGTATAACAGAAGTTCTCCTGAAGACAGTTGTTGTTGTCCAACCTTCGTTCAATGTATTTCACTGATCCCAAGCACCTCCAGGTTGTTTCTCCTCATTTCCGCAGCAATTTGGAAGACTCTCTCGGCCTCCCACATTGTACGAGCATTCCACGCATCTAGATAAATTGTTGCTCTGGTTGTTAGAAGCGGCATCGGCCTCATGACTTCCGAAGAAACTCGGCTTTCAACATGAGACGTCATAATTCTTCCCTCAACTTGGAGGACAGAGTTTAAATGGTTTGAATAATATTGTCTGGTTAGCGTTTTTTAGAGAGTTGGTGTTCTACGGGATGGGGCCGCCAACCCCATGCCAAATCCTCCTTCTTCATCCTGGCTTGGAACCGACAGTAGACCACGGAGGGTCTACAGGCGGAGTTGGGGCACAAAAAGAACAACCAATATAGACTGAGAGTTGACTCCAAGTAGCTCGTACTGGTTAACGTGTCATTAGTCTGGCATAGCGCCAAAGTCACATAAGTCGGAATAGTAATTGGCGATTTAGTCACGTGATAATTGATGTGTCAAAACACATATCAGAACTACTGAAAATGCATATCGACCGTTGATCATACGATGTACAAACACAAACAGATATCGTCTTATCTCTAAACCGTTTTCTCAACAATTTTCATTTCCAACTATTCAGTATGAATTTCAGATGAATATGTGTGTTTATTTACAACTCAGGTTTCAACAATTTTGTTCATTGAATTCCATTTTCTTGAAAAAAATAGGTTTAATTTATTTCATCAGTCTTCTGATATATTACGAAAATATGTCGCAAGAAAATTATCGACTAGATACTGAGCTAAAATCAGCCAGATCTGCATGGACAACGGTAAGATTCAAACGACAGGTGCATATCTTTGTATCAGTTTACTATTGTCAGTAGGTTGAAAATATTGTCAAATGTTTTAAACACACTATTAAAATTTCATATTGAATTACTCATTTGAGTTGTGAGCATAAGTTTGCAAGCATCGACTACAATCTGTTATGGGTGATCACTGAAGATGTTTATTATACTCTCAGATCTACTCTATCTGTCTTGATATGTAACATTCATTTCAACAGTATGAATGTAACATTACTACGATAGTTCTTTCATCAGATAGATTTTATGGTATTGTTCAGTTTGGGGTTGAGGAAAACGTCGGGGATCTTACTTAGCATTTAACTCTCGTATAAGACATTCAGTGTTCTGTTTTAAATATTCGAATGCTCATTCAATGCGTCCAGATAAATGTCAACATTTGATTGCCATTGTGAAACAGAGTTCATCCACATTTTATTTTGAGACTATTTGTAGTATTGATTTCGAAGTACTGGAATCATGTTGTGAGATTTCGAATATTGAAGTTAAGAACAAATGTGAACGTTGATCAAATGAGTAGATGTAAGGAGTGATTTTTAGCTCTTCAGTTCAATATTTCAATCTGATCATTGAATACCATTCTACCTACCAACTTCATAATACGAGTATTCGATAGTATTCTGGTTATTTACACAATAGTCTTTAGGCTACCGATATTTCATGATGACCCATCATAATATCTTAAGTGAATCGCAACTTTCACTTTAACATCCACTATACTGTGAAAATTTCTACAATACTCCAATTCTCATGTGAACCATATTTGTAAGTTATGCATGCATCAAACTGGTGCAGTTACGTAACAACTAATTGTACCACAAGAGGAAACTACCTAGAGAACCTCACATTTTGATCAGACCACTCATGACATTTTCGTAAACTAACACACAGAGATCATATTAACAACATTTGGTTGCTCAGTGCGTACAACGTTTTCGGAGAATGTGAAACAAGATCAAATAAGAAAATCCCCATATAAACAGTAAGTAGGTGGCCTAAATGATGACAGTGTATGTTTATCAGTCATGTTGCTGAGAGCTTAAACGGGTGCGTATTTTCTTAATATTATATATGTTTATGTCATAGAATTTGATTGATTTATAAATTTCTACTTACTTAGATTGTTCGTGAAAATACAATACATTCACCTGGTGGTATGATACCTATGGCTTGGTCAGCTTGTTTACTTATCTATGCTGGTAGTATTTTCCAATTGATCGCAAGTCTTTTTGAAAAACCAATAAAAGAAGAAAATATAACCTATGTAGAAACAGCGATAGAGATGAAAACTGACTTTATAAATAAAGCCACTATTTCATAATACAATATATTTTTGTGTATTTCAATTGGTTTCTTAACATAATTGGATATTATTTCCACATGTGCACAAGTGTAAACTGTGTCGCTTTCTATCACTGATTCCAAAATAATAGCACAATTGTTTCCTTTTCGTATAGTCAACAATAAGTTGATACTCTTTGAATTGTTATGATTTCAAATGTATTTGACTCCAATTGTTGTTATCATCATTATTATTATCGTTATATATCTTGAAAATACCACTTACAGAATTCATACCAGTTTACAGGGGGCGTACTCAGCTTGATATAGATAGTGATAATAAATGTAGAGGACAGATATGTGATATTAGATTGTTTGATATATTCTAGTTCAAAAAATAGATGGGGAATTACAATTTTCACACGTTTTACAACAATGAAAGTGTTCAGGGGGGAACTTCTAACTCATTTTAAGTGGACATACCGTTGATATATGAACGGTGTATTGAAGGTCGATTGCTGAGCCATAACCAATCGATTATGATCATCGACAACACGAGAGGAAATGAAATGGAATCAGAGATCACATAACAATTAAAGCAATAATTACTACAATAGGTCAGTCAGTCAGTCAGTCAATCATTCAATCAGTCATTCAGTCAGTCTGGTCTGCCACAGTACATGTGTCAGGTTAGTTTATGATAAACCGTTCATGTTGGGAGTGGTCTTATTTCACGGACACATTGTGGTTAATTATTCCAGAGTTTGGGAAATTTACTGGTCAAGTAATTGATATGGAGAGAAGATTTAGAATATGATTGTTTCACTAATGTCCAAGAGTTACGTGTGATGTGAGTAGGTGTTTCTTGATATTGAATTACTTGATTGAATGTAAAATATAGTTTATTACGTATTTCGATGAAGAAGATGAGATTAAGTTTAAGTCTTCTCTTCTATGAAGATTTGAGTTCATGTTTATCACATGTGTATTTATTATTTAAGGTAGAATTGGTGCGAAGAATGTGAAGCGTAAGCTGTTCCTGAATGGATTCCAACCTTTTTATTGAGATATATTCCATTATTTGAAGTGAACATTCGTGGGTTATTCATACTGGTTACTAAATGTTGCTTTACAACATGTTTAAAATAATCTTCGCACTAGTTCATTTTAACACTCACCCGCTGTTTGCACTATCAAAGTTTGCTCTATGTCATTATAATATAAATATGTCCGAAAACTGATCAGATGAATTACACAATGATTGTAGAATGTTTGAATGGTTTACAAAAATTTACACATATTTAGATGTGGACAAAGTTAAAAGTGATTTGATAATGATCACATAATAAAATAAGCACAATTAAATAAATAGTAATAATAAGAACATTTACTTACTTACTTACGCCTGTTACCCTTCGTGGAGGAGCATAGGCCGCCCACCAGTTCTGGTGAGCGTTTTCTTAGCGAGTTAGTTATCTACAGGATGGTCTCGCTAAACTCATGCGCAACCCTTCTCCTTTACCCAGATTTGGGACTGGTAGTAACTCTATAAGAGCTACAGACGGAGTTAATACAAACATATGACTTTTAGTAATTATATGAAGTTACAATTGAAAATGATAACCTGATAAGTGCCTATTGCTGAAAACATATTCGATTTAGGTTTTTAATTGTTATTGTACCACTTCTGTGAAACGAAGAAAGTCTACTTCATTTTGTTTATTGAAAATGTGGAAGGATTGACAATGTCAACATTAACTCATTAAGATCTAAATGCTGAGCTATTGAATTGTTTACAACTTTTAAACTGTTTAGTATCAAATTATATGGAACATGTACAACTCTCGCTTTTCTTTCACTTGTGTGCTGTGTCGAATACATGTAGATTGGTAAATGCAGTAGCAGGTAATGAAAAAAGGAGACCTTTCGTATTTTGTTTGTCTTGGAGAGTAGTTTATTTTGTTATCAACCCAGATTCTAGATCAGCAAACCTCATTTATGTCGTGATTAATTATTTCAGTAATTTCGTCTTCTCGGGAGTTAAAGTAAAGAAATCAAGTTTTCTTCTCATTAGTTTCGATGTACTTCTTGATAATTTTCTATGGGTGTCCACTTCCACGTAGATACTTTTTAATGATTGTAAGCACTTCTGCTAGTTGTTCAGTGGTTCAAAATTTGAGCGCAAAATAACAAAGTGTTCAAGCAATCCTATTTATATTTGACTGGACAACAGGTTTATTCAATGGTTTTCCTCTAGGCTAGATAACAAAGAAGCTACAGGACATGCATTACATTCAGTCAGTCATAGACAACATAGAATCTAGAATATATCTGCACCAGTCCATGTTTACACACTGCAATACCAAATTTAAACGAAACTATCAAGATAAATACCGAAACATTATTACCATCAGTGGTTGTAAAAAGGATTTTGTATAGAGAATATAACTCATGAAGAAAGGAATTATTCGTAGGATGGAAAGTGAAGAGTAATTCTGAATTTCAGGTTATAAGAGAAAACAAAGAGTGCACACATCTGAAACACATGACACAATGTCTCCAATCATTCATAACCTCAAATAAACAGTCTATACATATATCAATACGGTTCAGACAAACAATCAATGACTTCATGCTGTGATGACAAATATTAGTTTTGTTCTCCTTATGTTTTTCCCAACACACTGCAACCAACATTATGCGTCAACGCAAGTGGTTGTTGAAGCTACGTGATGAATGTGTCAATCACTTCAATTGATGAAGACTTGATACTTCGTCAACTGACTTGCCATGTATGTCTAGTGCTTTACGTCTAATATCAACACTGATTATCCAATAGTATTAACATTCGTGAGTAATTCTTCTAAGGTATTTGTGATTGAATACTAGGAACCTATGAATATAGTGTAGTTTTAAAGGCTTCATTTTAGAGTCGAAGTGTGAAATCGAACAAATCGTCACATTATAACGCATTGTTTTTTTCTATTCGTTGCTGTCTTACTGATTGGCGTTTCATATTGTGATTATGAACTATCTAAATTTTAATAAGAAATACTAAATTTTTACATCAGTTTACGCCCTCTTATAGCAGTGACGTACAAACCACTAATAACTCATAATTAAGAGATATGTCAAGTTGCTGATAACAGATCGAAATTAATTTAATCTCAAGTTCGAGAACAATAACAACGCATATATGGATAGTGGCTAGCAGTGGAATCCAGGACGCGGGTTTCGTCCTGTTTGGGACTCGTCAGCTGGATGTACCTGTATCTCAGGCACATATCATGTTGTTAACTTTTATTTCGTTTGAAATAGGAATTAATTTCTCAGAATATCTTCGATGCAGAATAATTATTAATCATTTAAAGTATTTAATTATTAAAAATCACATGTCATCCTACTTTAGGTTTAGCGTCATTTTGTCGACGAACTGATATTTCTAGAATGTGAATGAAATTACAATAAAATCACAGAACAATCGATTTTGTCTGACAAAATCTTAGCACGGATTCAGAAAGATCGTTTGGCTTTTGCCAACTTACGTCACCTATGGCGAAGACGAGATATCCGTCTGTTAATTAAGGGACGAGTATACTGCACAGTATTCCGCTCTGTTCTACTTTAAGGCTGTGAAACATGGCCATTAAGAGTAGAAGATACTCGTAAGTTACTATTATTTG